TCTCTTTCTTCCTCCTTCCTTCTCTCCTCTCCTTCCTTCTTTCTCTCTCCCTTCCTCCCTCGCTCTCTCTGTTCTTCTCCTCTGTTTCATTCTCTTCCTTCCTCCTTCCCTTCCTCCCTCCCTCCCTCTTCTTTCTCTCTCTCTCTTCCTTCCTCTTCCCCCTCCCTTCTCCCCTCTTCTCCCCTTCTTCCCTCCCTCCCTCCTTTCTTCTCTTCTTTCTATCTCTCTTCCTTCCTCTCTCCCCTCCCCCTCCCCTCTTCTTCCCTCCCTCCCTTCTCTTCCTCCTCTTCCTCTTCGCCTCAGGTGAGCCGGATCCTGTACAGTTTTGCCACCGCTTTTCGCCGTTCTGCCAAGCAAGTCCCGCTCGCGGCCCCCATTACTCCAGAGATGCCGGACAGCGACATCTTCACCTTTTCGGTCTCCCTGGAAATCAAGGAGGACGATGGGAAAGGCTGTTTCAGGTATCAGCTTCCCGGGGAGCTTCCAATTTGACAGGTCATGGACACCCTTGCCCTCCTACTTCTGAGAGCCCTCCTAGCACGCTTTGCCAAATAATTTCTCAATCTTGGTAGGAAGGGATTAAATTCTCATCGCCGCTGGCCGTTATTTAAGACGCAGCTTTTTGGAAACTTAAAACTGTGTCCCCATCTTGCTGTCTCAAGTCTGCTCAATTTCATACTGCCTGACGAAGCCAAATAAATGTGAACAGATCTTTCCCCCCCACCCGGCAGCCTTTAATTCTCCTAGATAATGGAGTTAGGCAGATCTAGGCATGTTTCCTCCTACCTTACCCTAAACCAGGAAGCCAGGATTGCAGTTCAGAGGCGCTCGGTTGTGGAAGGTGGCTTGATCGATTCGCCTGCCTGTTTCCCTTTTCTCTGAGCTGAGGTGCCACCTCCTCCTGAACAGCCCAGCGGTAGATAATGTTGGGGTCTGCCAGCAGCCTGCGGAGCTGGCGGCAGAGTTGGACCGTGGGGAGGAACGTGGGCCAGTCTGGGAATCTGAGGAGGACTCGGACGAGGGTCCTGCATCCGATACAGAGATGGGGCCAGGGCCACCTGGGAGTTGTGTGCTGACTCCAGAGCCTCCAAAATCTGACAGCAGCGAGGCAGAGGAACAGGGGGAGCCTGTTCCCAGTGCGCGTGTGCGCAGAGCTGCCAGAAGACAAGAACAGTTAAGACAAAAGGGGCGACTCGGGAGTAAGGCCTGGAGATGATTGGCCTCTCCCATAAGACATAAAGGAGGAACAAAGGGACAGGAGCCTTTGCAGGAAGCAACTTTGTTCGTTCTGATCAGTTTGAAACCTGAACGTGTTGAATTTGTGCTCCGTTTGGTCTTGTTCAACTAATTGGCAATTTAGTCGTTGGCAGCATTTCAAGGAAGATAAAGGTGGGTGCTTATTAGACTTATCCTGAAGGATTTTGGCAGGCTTCCGTGGGACTATTTACAAACTAGTAAAGGATGATAATTCACAGCTGTTGAAATAAAATAAATTTTTTGGGGAGACGACTAACGTGTGTTTGTTAATGTCTCAGAAAGCCTTGATCAGAACAGCTTAAACAGATGACATTTTAATAACTCGTTGAATGAAATGGCTCTTTCTTTTTAAACGTTACTTGGGTAACAAGGAAGAGACACAAATGGTGCGTTGGCCTAGAGGTGGAGTTCTCGCCTCACAATCTGGAGGCTGTGATTTCAATCCTAGGTTAGAGGCAGATATTTCTCTGGGCACAACGAGAATATATCTGCTGAACAAGACTCCGCATTGGCAATAGGAAAGGCATCCGGCCCGTGAACATTCAGCTCTCCAGTCAGTTGCCCAGTCTGCACCCCGCAAGGGATTATGTGGTGGTTAAAGAGGAGGATGAACAAGGGGGAGACACGTCTGGAAGTCCTCTGGGGTGCCTCAACTTTGGGAAGCCGAACGTAACCGTCTTGGTTTTCCTTCCCTCCCCAGTGCTGTTCCGAAGGACAAAGACAGGCAGTGCTTCAAGTTACGGCAAGGGATCGACAAGAAGATTGTCATCTACGTGCAACAGACCACTAACAAAGAATTGGCCATTGAGAGGTAAGGTTGGCACCTGTCGGGTCTCGGCACTGGCGCTCAAGGCCTGGCCAGGTGAGAGAACCGTCTCCTTCTTCCTCTTTGCCTCCTTTGGCACCAGATCAGGGGTCTCCAACCTTGGTGACTTTAAGCCTTGAGGACTTCAACTCCCAGAATTCCCCAGCCAGCCATGCTTGGATATCCCTGCTGGAGATGTTTCAATATCTGCTGGGTTCTCCCTCAAACTCACCTGGGACTTGCCTGTTCTGGAAAGCCGTCCTGGGAAGTCTGGTGCCCGTTTCTAAACCAGGTCATCTTTTCAGTCTAAAAAGGGGAGGGGTGGTCTTCAGAGCAGAGTCTCAAAGTGGGGATGGGCTCCCTTTGCTTCTTCTGGATTTGATCAAGGCCTCCTGCCGACGTCCTGCTGTCAGGATTCCAGCAGTTGCCCCCCAATTAAATGATGAGTCTCGAGCCAAACTTCCCAAGCTTCAGAAGGATTTATTGGGAGTTAACATGTCCGGCACTGCCTGGGTGTAGCCGACTCTGAGACACATCATTCCTTGTCACCCTTGACCCTGGTTTTTCCCCCACCCCCCCGTGTGTATTGTAATTCATATTCTCCAATGGGACTCATCCATAGCCCAGAGTCATCAATCATGCTCTCCAGTTAAGAATTTTGCGCGGCATAAAACAGATGGATATATTATGTTGCATATATTAACAGCCGCAAGGATTTCGTACGCACAACTCTGGAAGGGAAAAAGGGTTCCACCGGAAGGCACGGTGATTAAAAAAAATAATAGATTGTATAGAGATGGACAGGCTAACGATGAAAATAAAAGACAGAGAAGATTCAATTCATTATAGGGCCTGGGATGCCTGGTATGAGTGGTTTAGAAATAAAAAGGAAAGAAAATGGCAATTAGGAAAAGAATGAGGGAATATGCAAATATGTAAATATACCATGGAGAAGATTGAGATGTAAGGATAAAAGATATCGATTTATAGTAAAGAGTAAGATGTAATGGTAAGGGAATGAGTAAATACATATACTGAAAAATGTGAGGAAATGCAAAAGATGTCTTGATGTTGATAACAATGTATAAAGTTTTCTTTTATGTTTTTAAAATTTGGAAACTTAATAAAATGTATTAAAAAAATTTTTTTGTGCGGCATAAACTTCAGTCACCTAGTTACTATCTTTGAAAACATTTATGGAATGCACTTTCAGTTTGGAAGCTGCTGCACTGCCCCCCCATAGAACTATTTTGTGAGTTGGCACCTTCTCCTTCCCGTTTGCAGATGTTTCGGCCTCCTTCTCAGTCCCGGGAAAGACGTGCAGAGCGGAGACATGCATTTGCTGGATTTGGTAAGTGGCCCTTCCCGTTCCTCGCCCCACGCCCTCGGTCTTCTCCGAAGGTGCCCCCTTCCTCCCCCAACCGCGTGCTACGGGGCGTGCTGTGTTCCATCCCGGTCTCTCTGCTGCTCTCTAGGAGTCCATGGGAAAAAGCTCGGATGGGAAATCGTACATCATCACTGGGAGTTGGAACACCAAGTCTCCACACTTCCAAGTAGTGAACGAGGAAACGCCCAAAGGTTTGTGAGGGTCTGGGAGGTAGTGCCACCCCCATCCATGGAGCAGTGATGACGAAGAGGAATAGAAGAGGATAGGATGGGATGGGATGGAAATAGAATAAAATGGAATGGAATGGAATAGGATAGGACAGGACAGGACAGGACAGGACAGGACAGAACAGAACAGAACAGAACAGAACAGAACAGAACAGAACAGAACAGAATAGAATAGAATAGAATAGAATAGAATAGAATAGAATAGAATTATAGAGTAGAATTTCAGAATACAGTAGAATTACAGAATAGAATTAAAGAATAGAATTACAGTAGAATAGAATTACAGTAGAATTATAGAATAGAACAGAATTACAGAATAGAATAGAAGGGAATAGAATTACAGAACAGAAAAGAAATAGAATAGAAATACAATAGAATAGAATATAGAATGGAATGGAATAGAATTATAGAGTAGAATTTCAGAATACAGTAGAATTACAGAATAGAACAGAATTACAGAATAGAACAGAATGAATAGAATAGAATAGAATAGAATAGAATAGAATAGAATAGAATAGAATGAAATTACAGAATAGAATAGAAGGGAATAGAATTACAGAACAGAAAAGAAATAGAATAAAATAGAATAGAATTCAATTCAATTCTTTATTGGCCAAGCGTGATCGGACAAGCGAGAAATTTGTCTCTGGCGTAGAAGCTCTCAGTGTACATATAAACAGCAAGTTAATAGGTCACGGGTCATAAATTATAGTTACAAACATTAACAACCATTGATAAATCGTAAGAAAGCAATAGGAGAAGATGAGAAAAGACGAGAAATGGGACAGTGTTATGGGAACTAAATGTTCTGCAAAGTGAGATGTTGGGGAAAAAAACTATATGTCTGGTTGTTTTGGCATGCAGTGCTCCATAGCGGCATCTTGAGGGGAGAAGTTGAAATAAACATGTCTCCAGATCCCCTTGTGCTCTAAGGTGACCAGGAGGTTGGATCCTCTTGGTCACCTTAGTGGAACACACAAGCCAGGGGATCCACCCACTCTCCCCCCCCACACACACATCCCTGAGGGTGGGTAGATTCAGGAGATTTCCTGCCCAGCCTGAAGATGCTGCTGTGGACAGAGTCTTCCTGCCCTGCTCTTCGTTGTCTAGCCACAGCCGATTCTCTTGTTGCGGCCCGACAGATTCAGACAGTGAGGAGGTTGGGAGGAACATGGGCCATTCCTGGAGTCTGGGGAAGGCTTGGACGAGGGCTCTGCGTTGGAGGCAGAGATGGGGCCAGGGCCATCCGACAGTTATCAGCTGCCTTCGGAGTCAGACATCAGTGGGGAAGAAGAACAGCTGGAGCCTGTTCCCAGTGTGCGCATGCACAGAGCTGCCAGGAGAAGGGAACAGCTGAGGAACAAAGGCCGACTTGGAAGTAAAGCCACAGGTGGGTGGTGGATGGCCCCTCCCCCAGAGTATAAAAGCGGAGCGAAAGGAGAGTGGGGCTTTGCAGGAGACAATTTGTTCCTTCCGGCATGCTTGCCAAGTGTGGGTGGCTGTGAAAGAGATCAGCCTGGCCCTTTTCCAAGCCTGATAAAGGTCTAATTGGGAACGATCTTGAAAGACTGTTGGCCGGGACTTTGTTAGAGAGGAAAAAGTAAATCAATGTTCTGACCAAGGCTTCCTGAGACCGTAATTAATCACGCACTTAATCCAGGCAACCCTCTCCTTATTTTAACGGCTGGAAATTATCTTCATTCCCAGAAGGTGATAAGTCCCAAACAGTTCCTCGAGATAAGCACCCACCTTTCTCTCCTTTGAATTGCTGCCAACAACTAAAGTGCCAAATGAACTGTAAAAAGCCAAATGGAGTACCAAGTCCACACAGAGCTTCAAGGTTTAATCCAAACAGAGTGAACGACATTGCTCCCTGCAAAGGCTCCTGTCCCTTTGCGCCTCCTTTATGTCTTAAGGGAGGGCCAATCACCTCCAAACCTTACTCATGAGTCACCCCTTTTGTCTTAACTGTTCTTGCCTTCTGGCAGCTCTGTGCAAGCGCTCACTGGGAACAGGCCCCCCTTGTTCCTCTGCCTCGCTGCTGTCAGATTCTGGAGGCTCCGGAGTCCGCACATATCTCTTAATGGGCCCTTGCCCCATCTCTGTATCGGACCCTCATCCGAGTCCTCCCCAGATTCCCGGACTGGCCCATGTTCCTCCCCACTGTCCAACTGTGCTGCCGTCTCCGCAGGCTTCCGGCAGACCACAACCATAAAAGAGGACGAGGACTCGGCTTCGTGCTGTTGGGGAAGCCTAGGTCAGAACATCTCTAACCATTGGGTCCTGTCCTCTTCCTCCTCTGCAGACAAGGTGCTCTTCCTGACCACAGCTGTGGATTTGGTGATTACAGAGGTGGAGGAGCCCGTCCGCTTCCTCCTGGAGACCAAAATCCGTGTCTGTCCCCCCAACGAAAGGCTCTACTGGCCTTTCAGCAAGAGAAGCTCGACGGAAAACTTCTTCCTAAAACTGAAGCAGGTGAAACATCGGAGCCCTCCCCGTCCTAAATCCTAGCCCCGTGATGGCAAACCTATGGCAGGCATGCCACGGGCGGCACGCAGAGCCATGTGTACTGGCACGCGAGCTGCAGGCAAACTTACCTCACTGCGCCTGCGCCATGCTTCACAGCTGATTTTCAGCCTCCCAGAGCCTTGAGGAAGGCTTCTGCAGGCTTTGCAGGCTGAAAACTAGGCCCGTTTTGTCACTTCCTGTTTTTCCGGAAATACAGGAAGTGATGAAACGGGCCTAGTTTTCAGCCTGCAGAAGCCTCTGGGAGGCCGAAAAAGGCCTCAAACTCACAGAAAAATCAGCTGTGAGGCGCAGTGCAGGTAAGGGGGTTGGGGGGGATTGCACGCGCACGCGTAGGGGGCATGGGGGGTGACGTACATTGCCTTCCGGGTGCTGGCACGTGAGCACAAGCATGCAAGCGCGCGCACAATTTTTGGCACAGGCCCCCCAAAAGGTTAGCCACTCCTGTCCTAGCCTGTCGGATGGAGGAGAGGTCTATCCTGCACGGACGAGAAACGTGAACGTGGGTCGCTCCTGGGTCCCTGAAACATTTCCGCTGAGCTTTGAACCCAACCCTGACGGGTGTCGTTGTGTTGATCAGATCAAGCAGAAGGACCGAAAGACCAGCACCGACACGCTCTACGAAGTGGTGTGCCTGGAGAGCGAAGCCCAAAGGGAAAGGAGGAAAACCACTGCCAGTCCTGCCATCTGCCTCCCCCAGTCCGGCTCCCAAGGCTCTATGATCCCCTCCCCTCCTGAGGATGACGAAGAGGAAGGTAAGGAAGACTGGAAAGGCGGATTTTCCAGCGGGGTCTCCCGCAAAGGGGTCGTTGGCAGGCTGTGGGCTAGCTGCAGCCTTCAAGCAAGAGATTTGGGGGCAGGCCTTCTCTGTGTCTCTCTGTGTAAGACAAGGATCTTCAGACTGGGCAAGTTTAAGACTTGTGGACCTCAACTGCCAGAATTCATTTGCTATCGTGACTAGAGGAGAATTCTGGGAATTGAAGTTCACAAGACTTAAAGCGATCACGTGGGACCTGGGGTAAGAGGTCTCAGTCAAAGCCCTCTTGACCTGCCTAACCAGTCAAGGGGCCAGATTCTGCAAATTGACCAGTTTGGTCTCTGGGAAAGCGGCTGTCCTGCCCCTGGTGGAGTTGGACTCTGAGGGAGAGGAGGAACCGCCGACAGGGAGTGGAAATGTGGCTCCGGAGGTTGTGGAGGAGGCTGGGGAAAGGTAGAGGTTGGCTGGGCAGTCAGAGGAGGACCCAAGCCCATCCCCTCTCCATCCCAGGGCACGCAGGGAGGAGAGGATAAGGGAGAGACGTCAATGGTGTGGTCTACTTGGGAGGGAGAGGGCCTTGATCCTCTTCCTGGGCTGCAGGTGTAACAACTGAATAAGAGTTTGGACCTGCGTACTGGCGAACGCTGGAAACCAATCGTGTAAATATCTCTAGTTTATAGTTCCCCTCTGAGTTTGGAATCCTTCCCAGTGTGTGTTGTTATCTGTGGACATCCTCCAGCCCTTATCTTTATTTATGTTGCTTTTTTCCTTCTTCGTGTAACTGTGTGGGAGCTTTTTCGTCTTCCGTCAAAGATATTCGGAGCTTGGAAGCAAACTGAAGGAATAAAAGGGGCTTCCCCTGTTTTCTGTGACTGTGTTTGTTTTGTATCCCACCCTGGGTCATCCCAGCCGCCCAGCTGTAGCAGAGGCCGCTCCTTATGTCTGCAACTGCAGGTGTCAGACCTGCCCCAGTCAGGCCCCTTAGGGAAGAAAGACCCTCGACTCCCATTTCCTCGAAGGGACAGGTTCTTTTACTAAAGGATGTTGGCTGCAGTAAAGTCGGCCTAAAACTAAATTTCCTGCGTGATAAGATTCCAGATTATTCTCCTCCTCCCAGCCCTCCCCACCCCTTGACCAATTCGTTTTCAGCCAATGAAAACCCCCTTTAGGGAGAACGTCGAGATGTTTGGGGTGATCCGCATTCCAGTCTCAGGGTGTGTGGCCTTGAGAGCTGGCCCAAAGAGCTTTCCTGGTCTTCGTCAAGTTGTCCGCCCCCTTCCCAAATTCCCATCGTAACCCCTTACATCCTTACTGTCCATTGCTCGTCCTCGTCCCCACCAACAATACCCCCTAGCCTTCGATGGCAGGATGCCTGCGAGGCGCCAAGACGAAGATGGCAGACCCGACAGCGGGGGTTTCAGGCAGGCGCCCATGGAAGCGCGGCTCCCCCTTGTGGGGCGCTGGCGCATGGCACCCTCCCTGAGCCTCTCCCTCGTCTTTTGCAGATAACGACGAACCCCTGCTCAGCGGCTCGGGCGACGTCTCTAAAGAGTGTGCGGAAAAGATCCTGGAGACGTGGGGAGACCTCCTTTCCAAATGGTAAGTGCTCCGCTCCCTGCATCCCTGTCCCAGGATTTGCCCTCGTTCGAAGTAGCCAATCAGGAGAAGGCAGTTCATGTAGGCCAAGTCCCAGTACAGCTGCCCTCCTCCCGAGCCTTGTTGATGGAGCCTAATTCCCTGTGATTTGCAGGCAGGAGGCGCCATCCGGACGGCCCTTCTGTTCAGCTCTTCCAGGTGTGGCCCGCCTTCCTCCCTCCCTGTAGGAAGTCACCGATCTGCCTCCTTCTCTTGGCCCTTGAAAAAGGGCCCAGCTGATGAATCCAGCCATGTGACAGCAGCAGCCAACAAAGCTAACACAATCCTGGGTGGTGTCAACAGAGGCCTAGAATCAAGATCACATGAAGTATTAGCGCTGCTTTATAAAAAACCCCTAGTAAGACCTGGAGTACTGCAACCAGTTTTGGTCACCGTACTACCAACAAGATGTTGAGACTTTGGAACAAGTTCAGAGAAGAGCAGCTAAGAGGATCAAAGGCCTGGAGGCTAAAACAAAGGAAGAACGGCTGCAGGATTTGGGTCTGGCTGGTCTAAAGAAAAGAAGAATTGGGGTGACATGATAGCAACATTCCAGGGGCTTCCACAAAGAAAAGGGGGTCAAGTTATTCTACAAAGCACCAGAAGGCAAG